GCAACGAATTCGTGCAAATGATAATAAAACATGGTGTCAAAGTTCGGCTTCGCCTCATTTCAGCATAGTCGGTCGACTCTTGTGACCAATATTTGCCCAATACTGGGGACCAACTTTGGTGTTCAGGTTTGGCACGGTGTTATTAGTCCTATATTCAACCAATCCTGGCCAAGTCTAGTTGCAGGTGGTGAGCCGACAGTCGTAGGTACTGGGCAAATGCTGGGCCAAGGCTAGTCCATTCCTAAACTCCTACTCGGGATCCACATGCTCGCCACATTTCTACAGAATTTTTCAAGCCTGATGGGTCTCCCCCACTTGTCATCGTCAGGTGAATCGTGTTTTTCGGATGATTCATATAAGTTAAGTTTTGTCACATGTCGCCAACTCCCCCTGGACACTTCTCTCCAACGCTTACAAACTGTAAACATGGGAAAAAATCATTCCGTTGCCAATGTCTCTTCTTTCCAAGAATCAAATCTTCAAGAATAATAGAATTAATATCTTACCAATTCCAAATGTGCGTTTATCTTTGATCAAATATTATTTTCACACAATCATCATTACGTTTATGTGTGATCGAATGAGAATCTCCTACTCTCACGAGGCGTTCTATCGGCATTATTTGGCAAAAAACCCATCGTTATGAATCTTTAAAACTACATTAAAAAGCTAGGAAATTTTAACGAGCCGTGAACCAAACGGGCTCATTAAAAACGTCAGTATCCCAAAATTCTCGTCCGCTCCCTTTAGTAGAGGGTAGTGTATTCTGAGTTGAAACTTCCTGCTGTACTTTTGGCGCCAGGCCTTAGTTGATGAGTTATTAATGAATAAAAATGACCATTGCTTGGGGCTTAAAGCTAAATTTGAAATTGCTTAATGGTTATAGGGAACAAGGATATGACTGAGGGCGGAAAGAGAGAGTTCTTCAAATGGACAGCACTATTCCACTTAATTACACCACTCCTCGTCCGATATTGAAATTAAATTGTTATAGGAACAATTGTTATTGTAGCGATGAATTTGGTCAAGGTGCTGATGAAGTTCTCCGAAAGTGGTCCCCCAGTGCCTACAGCTATGGCCTATAGCATTCACTACGATGTCCGATAGACAATTCTATTCGTTTTTCGATGATTCTATTAATAAATTCTGTGGCTTTTCTACGCGTTTCTTTGTTTCTAGTAATTTCAGATAGAAAATATTCTATTGAAAAAAAATCAGCAATTTTTTATTTTTCTATACAATTTATTCGATTGCAACATTCTCTACAGAGTTTTCTAGCTTGGAGTTTTCCAAGTTTTGAAGTTTTTGTTAAAACGTGCCAATAAGTTTCTGGGTGAAATGTTCTCATGCGTATAGGCCACCGATTTCCAGCCCAGCACCACTGCAAGTGGTCAACTTCATTAATGAATAATTTGTTGATTAAGAGCTGACACTAAAAATAGAACTTTCAGTCAGAGTTCCTGAAGAGAACGCGAGTTTTGGGAAACATCCATAAAAATGGTTTATGTGAATTGAATAAGCTTAAATGAAATAAATTACTTTATTCAAATAGCTTATAATGAAACTATTATTCAATTTTGAACTTGATTTTGATTTGCGTTACCATGGGAGGTGGTGCCTGTATCGTGCAGGGAGTAATACTGCTCATCCGATTCCCTCTACAACCACAAACATTTTTTACACTTTTTCTGTCTCAATCTCGAGGATCTAATGTTAGAAAATATCTACCGCAAATATTCAGCGTTTTTGACCATTTTTCATTAAAAACGATTATCCTTTAACATTTTTAGTTCTTACAGCATAAACTCCTTAGCGTAGATTTTTCAAGAGAGTGATTCCAACTTTTCTGCGTGAAAGGTCGACTTAATTGATTCAATTCACATACTTTGCACCGAAAAATTTTGTAGTGAGAATTAGCCACATTCTTCATTTTTCCTATATATGGCATCGGGGCGGTACGGGGAGGCACGCCTACTGTATGTCGGTGTCAAAAGGAGAGACCACTCGAAACAATGGTCTGTAACTCAACGAAAAAACATCTTAAAAATGTGAGACCAATCGTACCGTATAATATAAATATTCTAGTCATCCAACACGGAGTTTCAAGGATTTAAATTAATTAGTTAATGTTTTATCGCAGTGAATTGGCAAATTTCAAACCGCTACCATACATACAAAAAATTCTTTAAAAAAAATCGTCAATTTTTTCAGAGATTCCTTGAACCCCTGGGAAGCCAACGAGAGAAGAAAAAACTCAATATTGTAATAATTATTTATTCAATTAATAGAGACTGCGGCTATTTCGATGCAGAATTGTCGAAGCCAGCTGAACAGGAAAATGTTTCTGCATTCAATATATAACACATTCGGCCAATATTTTTTATATGTTGATTTTAAAAAAATCAAGAAATTTCATCAAAAAAAGTGCAGTTGAAACGATCATAACTCGTTATGGCGTTTACGGGCGAGCTAACGAGCCGGTCCCTTAAAATTGCATGAACATACCCGCCTGCCCACCTTTTTCAGGGACGTCGATGACAGTTATAGACCTTTGGGCTCTAGGGCGAAAGCACACTGTACAATGTGCTTGCGCCCCAAAGGGCCCAATGCCTGTAAATGGTTTCGTCGTCGCCGAGAAAGAATGATCTTGGATCCGAGTGGTGGGGGAGGTCGAATCGGAGCTAAATTCGAGAGAGTGGGGGTACCTTACTACGATCATTCTTTGAATTCTTTGAATGCAATACATTAAATGCCGAATACATATTTTTTTTTAGGTCGGTTCGCCAATTCTGCAACAAGATAGGCGCAGTCAACAACTCTATTAATTAAATAAATAATTATTATAATATTGAGTTTTTTCTTCTCTCGTTGGCTTCCCAGGGGTTCAAGGAATCTCTGAACAAATTGACGGTTGTTTTGAAAAATGTTTTGTATGTACACTGAGAAAAAAAATTTCTAAGAAATAGAAATTCTATGATTGATTTAAATCGTTCATCGATTGAATAGTCGCAAAAGAAAATGCTATTGTAAGACACAAATATTGATTTGAACTAAACCAAAATTGGATTGTATGAAATCGATTTTGTTATAGTATAGTATATTTTGTGTATTCTATCGAATTTAGAAAATACTTGTTTTTGCGACAAAATCGATTTCATACAATTCAATTTTGGTTTAGTTCAAACGCTTCGGATTTGGCGCAAATAATTTTTTTTTCACAATTGCAATGGAAAAATAATCAGTTCAAATGATGAAGAATTGCGTTTGTCGTAAACAAGAAACTGCGCTTCGCGAAAGTCTCGCATCAATGAGTATCCAACAATATGTTCCTCANGCGGTTTAAAGTTTGCCGATTTTGGCGAACACCGAAAATCGGGGGTTTTTTGGATTTTCACTGCGATAAAAAATGAACTAATCAATTTAAATACTTGAAACTCCGTATTGGATGACTATGTTGTAATCCAGAATATTCCATGACCGAATTATGAAGTGATTCGTGTTTAATAATTATGAAATTAACTGTTTATCGCTTGTTTACCGATTCAGCATCGTATTACACCACGGGATCGTATTGTAATACGAATACAACGACAAAGAGACAAATGTGTGTCACGGTTTTCTTATAAAAACCGAGAACACACTGCACTCGGGAGTCATTACCAATGTAGTTCATTTGGGAATTAATCTTAATTCTTTTGTATTTTTACCGTTACACTTTGACTAAGAAATAAAGTAAATTCAAGTATCTTAACACTGAAGTTTGAGTCCATTGTACTCGTCCATTCTACCTCACACAACAACTAGAATATTCACATTACACGGTACAATTGCGGTCTCATATTTTTAAGATTTTTTTTCGTCGCGTTACAGACCGTTGTTTCGAGTAGTCTCTACTTTCGACACTGACAGTAGTGGTCGGATTTGTACCTCCATTCTGTGGGTGAGCCGTCTTTTCGTTCAAACGAATCATTTATTCCATACAATTAAAAGATTTTCGTTGAGATAAATGTTTGAGTTGATTAATTTACAACAAAAATATTGTTAAAATGAATGGAAAAATTTAACAGAAGAGTTTTATTTGATTCAAATACATCATTGCTCCTGATGCATTCTATATATGGGGGTGAACTTGGCATTATTTCATCGCTTGAAATGAAGAGTTTGCAAAAGGTGCGAATATCACTAATTTCTACGCTCGATCTCGACTTAGACTATCGGAGACGATCTATTTTATCTCACGCTTAATATTAAAGAGGATATTCTATATGCATTTCTTTCAATTTTAACAAAGAGACTCGCTGGACATTCGCACCGTTTATATTTTTCAACGTAGATTCGCTATTAGAATAACGTGTGCTCTATACGCCCACGATGTGATTACCTCAAAAACAAATGTAAATGATGCAGAAGTGCTTAACTCTTAGTAAATTAAGGAATCACTAAAGAAACTTTTGAGAAACAGATGGAAATAGATACTTAGTGCGAAATCTCTCAGGTAGATGTGACTCAGAATCAGAGGGGTATGTTTGTCAAGCAGAATTACGTAGGGGGCGGGTGAGTGCAGTTTGTAATTGAGTTCAAAGTTTAGAAAAAGCAGTCTAAATTTACAGTTTAAAGTCCAAATTTTTAAGGTCTAAAAATTTAGAACCAACTCCCCTTCTTTACCGCCGATAAGTGCAGAGATTATGGGAAGGCTTGGATGATTTTGAAGCCAAATCATCAGTTAACATTTGGTAAAATGTGTGGTACTCATTAAAAAAAATTTCGCGTTCGGTTACATAAACCCTGAGAAAATAGGAAAAAAGTCACGATTTTCTATTTACCGAAAATGTTTTCTTTCATTTTTGTATCTATTTATCTAATTTGATTCATCACACTAACGAATCAAATCGACTGACAACCCAGGAAATTTGATTGGCGAATTTACGAAGGTAATACGTGCTTTTTCATAATTTGGACAATGTGCATAATGGGCGTGGGACATGAAAGAAAAACACAAGTTTACGTGAAATACGGTATGCGCAATGTATTTATACAATTCCTCATTATTTTCCGCGTATGAAAAATGAAATAGTCATACAGAGTCAAGAATAATATACAATTTTTTGCAGTTCCTCAGAGTTAGAGAGAACAAAAAAACATGGTCTCTATGTCTGCAAATTAATAATTCAGGTAACAAAATAATAAAAGAAGATAAAAGTAAATATTCTCTACTAATTATTTTGTAAATATTTTCCAATCGAGAAGGAAAAAAAATTTAAAAGATCTTTATCGTAATCTGTAAAATTCATTCCTCCAAACATATCTTGATAAATCTACAAAAACTTCTTCATCACATTTCTATGCATTCGTTTGTTAGGACTTGTCTTCTATCCTGTTGTCATCACATAATTACTAAATGTTCTTGAAAGGCATCATTCGCAAGATACCTCTCAATAACTACATCAATGTCAGTGTCAATAGAGCTAAAGTCATGATTGGATTATTCTAATTCGGGCCAAATGGTGGGGTTCAAATCCACGATTCATCCGTATATCCTAACCGGATCCAATCTAGAACAATTTAAATGTCGTGTCAGTCTCAATATTCACTCAAGTATTGCCTCTCCTCATGATATGAATGCTTTCGTTCTCCTTTTTCTGGATATTGACTCTCAAAGACCGAATTATTGACTCCAGCAATCAGACAAGAGAATACTTCACTCATTACACCAACCGATCTGGAGACTAGGACACAAAGTGGAAGATTATTGGTTCTCCGTTCTGTGATTTTCTCTGCTTCAGTGACCAACACCTCGGTGACTGAGGTACGTCTCACATTCAAGTACTGCAGGTGTGGCGCATTTTCCAGCAGCGCAATCATTCCTGGGTCTCTTATACGTGAGTTATATCCACACTGCAGCTCCGTCAAGTGACGTAAATTTCTGAAGGGAGCGTCAGTAATTTCAGGAATCCTTTTCACAATAAGTCCTTCAAGTTGTGGTAATTTTGCCAGATGAGCGATTCCTTGATCGTCGAGGGATGAGCAATGAGTGAGATCCAAATGTTTTAGTTTTTCGCAGAATTTCGATAGTTGTTCTACGTAGCACTCGACAACTCCTGAAACCCAGCTGAGATCAAGGCGCTCCAGATTTGTGAGCAACTTCAGTGATGGGAGTCCTACATTCAGCAGACAGTTTGATAGAGAAAGAGATTTGAGCTCCGACTTCTGACTGATGACGTTCAATACATTAGGATCCGGGGCGAAACCATTTAGACTTAGAGCTGTCAGCTTTGTACATCTTTCAAGCACCTAAAGATTACAAAATTATGACATTACACTGAGTTCTGGACAAATGATTATGAAATTTTTTCAGATTTGTTTTGTAGTGCTCAGTTTTACGCACGAAACGATTTAATAGAAAAACCAAGCGAATTCGTTAGAAAATTCTATTAGATTTCTATTGAACTTGCTGTTATTTTTGGCCAATTCTATTGAAATGATCAATAGAAAATATTCAATCGAAAAAGTTAATAGAATTAAATTTTTCTATATAACTTATTCCTTTCAGACATTTTCTATCGAATTTCCCCACGCTCAAGTTTTTTTCATTCTATTTTTCTTCGCTTCTCATCAAGAAAATCAAACAAAAAACTTGAAAAATTTCAGCCGATGAAATTCTATAAAAAAGATCTCAATAGAATAAGTTATATAGAAAAATCGAATTCTATTGACTTTTTTTATCGGCTAGAAACTAATAGAAAGTTCAATATAAATCCAATAGAATTTTCTGACGAATTCACTAGGTTTTTCTATTAAATTTTTTCATCCGTGGCGCTGTACAATAAAGGCGCTCTTGGAAATTTGACTATCTCCCTGGGGTTCACAGGTATTCATCAACATCCTCGGCCTCTAACCGAGTTCAATCCATGAGAAGTGGTGAAAATACTGCCAAAGACCATGAACAAAGTGACAAAATGGTGAACAACTGGTGATTCCAAAAAGAAACCATTTCTAAAAGTCAAATGAGAGTTTTACAAGGGTCACTAGGGTCATGAAAATCAAATAAGAATTAATCCATTAAAATGAAGTCTTTTGAAATCATGAGGGGATATTTCTCATTATGTTGCAATTTATTACTACTGAGTTTAAAATTAACATCGTAGCGTGAATAGATCAATACCCAGATTCGGGCCAATACCTGGACGATTTCACCGTCTATTGAACATTCTGTAAATAATAGAATCAAACCTGTACGGATTAATATCATTATCAATAATAATGCTTATATATAATGTGATGTATTTTTAAAAAAAAGTTCTTTGCGAAATATCAACATTACAGCAAGAAGAAAAATAAAATATTCTGGAGGTATAGTGCGGGGTACGTGGCACGGCAATTTGCTAAGCATCAGTGACAGTGTCGTGAAGAAAAAAACAGAAGCTCTCTTCCGAAAGAGTCAGATGTGGGAAATAGCACAATATTTTCAGGAGAATCACATCTCGAAGATGAAGAATTTAGATAGCCTATATGCCGATAGCCTCGTATGTTTTCACATTCAACAAAAAAAATCATGTTTATATAAACTGGATGAAAATTCTATATCCCTCTAGATCCTTAACCGTCCAGCTATTGGCCTGTTTACTTACTAAACACATTTCAATGAAATTGAATAATTTCACCGGAATCTTGGCTTTTCCAATTGTTTTATGTTAAAAATTAGTTTCGTTTTCTTTTTCTCGGCGTTTCTTTGATAAACATTAACTGCTTTTTCTGTTCAATGGCTTTCAGAAACATTATTGTTGTTGCGTGAAAGTAAAATTACTCGACAAATCATCCAACTAATTCATAATTCAGTTGAAAGTTGGAAAATAGTTGGGAGAAGTTATTGCTTGAACCAAAAATGTAAAAAAAACAGCTGACTCTTGAAACTGGTAACAAATAATAAATTTAGTAACTAAGCACGTCTAAAATAATTCAATAGAAATCCTTGCGAATTCGCTAGAAAATTCTATTGGAGTTCTATAGGAATTCTATGGGGTTTCTATAGGATTACTATTGTAATTCTATTGAAAAATTCTATTTGTTTTTTGCGGTGATTCTATTAGATATTCGATAAGAAAAAGTCAACAGATTTCGAATTTCTGTTCGAATTTTTCTCTTGAAATTGTTCCTATTAGAAATTATTGGACACAAATTTTCTAGGTTTTTTCCAAGAAAAAACTCTAACTTTTCTCTTGATAAGGTGTAGAAAAAATCTCAAGAAAAAATTTCAAACAAAAATTCGAAATCTATTGACTTTTTCTTATCGAATATCCAATAGAATTAGCGCAAAAAACAAATAGAATTCTTCAATAGAATTCCAATAGAAATCATATAGAAATCCCATAGAATTCTTATAGAATTCCAATAGAATTTTCTAACGAATTCGTTCAGTTTTTTATTGAATTTCTTCATGCGTGAGTTCGAGGTCTGATATCATTACCTGACCTCGAAATCCAATGGACTTACTCACAGTTACCGATATAATGCTAGTGAATTATAATTCCAAGATCTATCACTCACAGTAGGAGCAATGAGTGGTAAACTCCCATAACCCGTGGCCCAGAGGTGGATTTCCGTTAAACTGTCAACAGGCAGTACCTCGAATAAATGTTTGGGATAATGTTTGAGCCCTCTTATTTCCAAATGCTTCAGGTTCTGCATTCGCGGAAACATCCTAGCATCTTGCGTCGTGAACTTGGTGAATGAAACTTTCAATATTGTCAAATTTTGACAGTACTGGTTAACAGCTGATAAAATATTGTAGTCGCAAGGATTCCCGATCTTCAGGCGCTGCAAATGATCTCCGCATTTCTTGAGAATTCCTCCAAAAATTCGATTAGTCCTGGCCTTATCACTGGGAGATGTATCATCTTCACCAGGTGATTCGTATAGGTTGAGACTCCTTACACGCAACCAGCCTGACACAGCAACTTCTTTCCAACGCTTACAAACTGCAAGTGCGAAAAAAAATTCGGCTCTTTTCTATTTTTTTGTGTTATAAAATGAGAACTTGGAGGCTGATAGAATCAGTGATGGTCAATACTAATTACATTAGCACTTGAATTCCCTATTAGAGTACAGAGTATGCATATGCTTAGTATTAGTCCTCCATTAAGTGCAAGTCTTTAACTTATTTAGGACTTGGAACTATTCACTTACTAAGTTGACAATGAATATAATATTTGGAAATACATTAACCAAAAACTAACCCCCGTCCAGAAATTTACCTGTTTACCGTATCTAATGTCTGAGAAGTTATCAAGAACTGAGTATTCTGGTACTCACTACTTGGATTCTTTTCAAGTACCAAGTACGGAAATAATTTTACAGGTTAAGTGCTTGTGTACATGAAAATATATATAAGCATCAGTAAATCTCACACTTAGCCCCCACTGGAAAGCATTCATATTTTACCATATTCAAATGCAAGTTTATCTTTAGCAGGAAGGTACTCGAATATTGTCTCCAGACAATCGTCATTTAGTTTGTTGTTGATAGAATTGGAGTCACTTACTGCCTCGGTATTCAATGATCGCAACAATCTTTTGTACCTCGCCTGAGAGGTATGATTGCCTGCAAACAATGTATCATTATGAATATTTGGAATCACATGAAGAAGTTGATGAATTTCAGTATATGCACAGTTATAATATGGTAAATATGCACATAACATCCCTTGCAGAAAAAATCTTTTAAAGGAGGGTGCATTAAAATGGACTTTCTGAACTCATCATGTGCTTATTATGTGCGCATCATTTTGGTTAATTGAAATTTTGGACATGTTTGAATGCTCGACTTATTAATATTATGGTAGCTTGATAAAAATTATTTTCTCTCTTCAAATTATCTACACTGACAAAAAAAAATTCTATCTGAAACATATTTTATTGATACAAGTAATTTGTCTTCAATTGTTTAATTCTTCAAGTATTTATTGTTTTCATGATTTTTTTGTGATGCAGTTCCCATTTTTCGATATGTAATATATTCATGATATGATCCGCAACGATAGTGATAAATGAGAATTTATTCGAGTTCCGTCAACCGCAAACATTCTGAGATTTAAGCCATTGAAAATAATTTATTCTCTGAAGTAAATATGATCTGCATATTAGGAAATTTTTCACTCAGTGTACTCATTATGGCCCTCAGATTGTTGTGCTTTCGATGTACTTCCAAATAATGTAAGATTTATCAAAAAGAAACAGCTCTCGTTTTAAATCGATCTAGTTCTATTACTATCGATTGAATCCAATGCTTCTAATAAAGTTTTGGTAATATAAAATAGTAAAGATCCCATTCAATCCTCTTGAAAAAACTGAGGTGGATCCAAGTTTTGATACTTTGAAAGTGAATTGGACTTTCATGAGTGTGATGTACCGATGAAAATTGCCAATAAATATTATTTACCTAAATAGTTTATTCTGTTCATAGTATCCCAGGGTAAATTATAATAATAATGTTCAAGCTCATTTTTACTGACTCACTACCTGCTCCTATTAGTAATCTTTAATCAATAGCAACGGGACATTTAACAATAAATGAAAATTAATTGGTTATGAGGAAATATAATCATAATTGGATCATGGAGAGTATTTTTAATTAAATTATCCAGTCCTTTCGGCCCGTCCCAGTTCACACACTCCGTTTTGTATCTCTTCAATTTGCTTGCAACCTAACCTATCAAAGTTTCTTCGCCATTTCTGAGAATATTAAATAAACAAATATTGAATAGAACTCCAACGTTTTGTTCATTTTGAATCTTGAAGATGAACTAATAGAATTTCGATCCCTGTTCTCAGGTATTCTAATATATGTATCTGACATGAATTTATTTATTTTTACTTACGCGTTCTTGTTGACCACATCTCAATCAGTCGTTCGTTGTGTTTCTGTGAATTTTCGCCTCCACGTTTCAATATTTGTTCAAGAATGGGATCGCACATTCCATGGTACCTACCCATGTATGAATCCCATGGAAGATTCGTACGTGCTATGTGCTCCATTCCAGATTAACGAAGAAAAACCAACAGTATGCTTGCGCGATATGTGACTACCTTGACGAAACGAAAGTGACTGACACAACCCGCGCTTAACCGCATCACGTGGGACCGACAGGGGTGTTAAAATTCCCTCATAGTTAACATTTCTGCCAAATAGTGCGAAACTTTCAGGTAGCTATAGTTCTCACCACAAAAGAATAATCGTGGCTGGATACACCCATCCAAAGTTAGCCACTCATTACCATAATTATTGATTTTTGACGAATGCAATCGATAGTTCGTCAATTGTTCTTGATTGTTCGAGGATTTTCAGCGTTTGTTCCCCAGCCAATTATTTATAATTGATTTTTTATTTTTTCCTCCCATGTTTCCTCAATTTAGCCCCTCCCACGTAAAGATCTAATCATTTTAAATTGTTCCTTCTGATGAATCGTTTGTTCGTCGTTTGTTCCTCCCTAAGACACTGCTGAGGTAATCGATAGGTTGATCCTTTCAATTGATTTCCTCTCAATCGTTAAAAGAGTGGCATATACTATAGCACCAAATTTTACTACCAGCAGCTATAGTTCGTGATACGCTGATGCTGTATGTATGTACATGGAGTATCATTTCGGAGCAGAGATCTTCAACTTTGTGTGATAAATCAATCTATCGATTGTTCCATTAATGTAATCATACTGTTCCCTAATTATTCATCACCAATTATTATTGGTGATTATACTTTATTCCCCCTCTGTGAGCTCGAACTAGTGGTATTTCGATGATCAAAAAGTGCATCAGTGTTGACATTAACCTCAATCCAGTGCGGTAGTAGTGCATGACGATTCAATAAACTAAATAAAATTTCGGGAAGGGTCTGGTGAACAGTCGAAAAATCATCCCTTTTTGCATTCAACTTCTAACAAGCAGCTGTTTTATGAGTAAGCATTGATTTTACACTTTTTAGCTTCGGTTTGACTCTCTAAACTTTGAATGCTTTTTTTTCTCTCATTTCCAGACTATCGAACTTCCTGTAACAATGGGTATTTTTCTGGATGTGGCTCTCGAATTATTATTTGGAACGTGGTTGGAGAAGAGGAATGAAAAACACGAAAAATGCATCATGAAACATTGAAAGACTCGGGGAGTTTGAAAAGCATATAATTTATTTATGTAAAACCGGTTCACTTCGCTCCGAATTCAATGAAATAATACTTGGAAACCTATCTGTT